CTGTGACCGTCCCTGAGGACCATCCCTTGCAAACTTTCTCGGTGGATAAGGCTTGCCGCTTCAGCCAATCCTAGTGACCTGTCAGACTCATGAGCGGACCTCGTAACGAAAAGGTATAAAGTCCTCTTGATGATTTCAATGTAATGCATCGACAAAGTACCAGTCGCATCTCTTAACTCAAACATCATGATCATGAAGCTTTCTCTTGTCTTCACCACGCTTGCATCCATCGCGGTTCTTGTTACAGCGTACCCCACGCAAGGAATCGCAAAACGTTCCAGTGAGTATTCATAATTCATCACCATGAGGAGGTTGACAAGCGTAACTTGCTGCTAGACGTCGAGAAGCGCGACACGGAGGGACTTGGTGTCTTTGACGAAGACTATGAATTCGTAAACTACAAGCGCAAGCGCGACTCGGCGGAACTTGGCGTCCACGACGAAATCTATGAGTTCGTAAACTACAAGCGCGCCTCGGAGGAAATTGGCGTCTTTGACGAAGACTATCAGTTCATAGACTACAAGAAGAGGGAAGAAGAGAAGCGCGCCTCGGAGGAAATTGGCGTCTTTGACGAAGACTATCAGTTCATAGACTACAAGAAGAGGGAAGAAGGGAAGCGCACCTCGGAGGAAATTGGCGTCTTTGATGAAGACTATTTCTTCGATGAGTACAAGCGCTCCTCGGCGGAAATTGACGTCTTTGACAAGGAATATATCTTCGAGGAGTACAAGAAGAGAGATGAGGGGAAGCGCGCCACGGAGGGACTTGACGTCTTTGACGAAGACTATGAGTTCATAGAGTACTGAACCTGACGCCAGGCTCTACACAGGTGAGTTATGGCTGTATTGTATGTCTGATTTTTTTGACAGTCATCCATCGTACTAGGTCTGGCATCGCCGCAGCCTCACCAACAAGTTACCCCCTGTATATCTACATATGTTAACTCCTTTATCTGGCTTAGTTTCTGACATGTTGGGTGCCTATGTAATGTAATACAATCCTGTTTGTCTCGCTCTTTGTTTTAATTATAGACCTAGCGTTCTCGTTACCAAGCTATCATTTGGTGCCATCGCGTTCTACATTTTCCAACGAGTCTCGCGTGTTGTCACTTTAAGTGCTCTCAGTTCCTGTTTAACATGAGACAGACGGTATATCAATTGTAGCTTGCTCAGTGCTAGCTGGCTCTCGTCCGAGTCATACCGAGGAACACTATCCTCTCTTGAATGGTCTTACTACAAGAGATTACGTGTTCGTCAAGTCCTAAGTGGTAGCCTATAGGAAGACATGTATCGCGCATGGCTAGAAAAATAATGCAATGACGATAGAACTGAGAAAGCAATAAACGCAACATAATTTTTAGGCGTCGTCCTCTGTCATTCACCAGGCCCCGCCTTCTCCTGATGCTACTCAACCCCACCACAAGAGGAAGCAGCGAAACGTTCTCACTCGACGCGTAGTAATGCACGCAGTCCAAATGAAACTTGTCAGCAGTAACCGCGTGAATGAAACAACATCACCTTAAACCCGGAGACAAGCAGCGGCAGAATCTCAAATACCACACGCAGACAACGGGGCGCTCACCAGTGGTCAAAGCTAGACTCAAACTTCTTCAGGAATTCCCAGCGTTTGTTCATCACCTGGTCGCCGTTGCCGCTTTCTGCCGCTGCGAGCGCTTAATTGGCGGACTTGGTGAAGGAGGTGTACAGTGCGAACGTAGACATGTCTTTGAGCGACCATTCATACAATCCTGCTCGCGATTCTAAATCGCACATCTTCGCGGAACACGGCATCTTCCCCTGTAAGTGCAAGGTCGAGCAGACTCTGTAGCTTAACGATACTAACACCTTTTGCGTGCTTCTTCAGCTCTGTGGGCAAGGTCTAAGAGGTGGTGAGGAAGGATGAGGAGGCCCAGAATACTTGAGAGAGCAGAGCCGAGATACGAGCGTTTGATCCCGCAGCAGGAGACGTAAGAGAGTGCGACTCACGTGTGTGTATGCGTCTTCGATGAAATTGTAAAGCCCCAAAATGCCCATGAAAAATTTCGGGGACGCGGGGACTAAACCCAACGAAGAAACACACATTTCATCTTCCATGGATAGTGAATTTTATCTTCTGATGGGGTTGCACCTCGATCCCATATTCACGCGTCACATCAAGATACTTCCCTGCAAAATAAAAACTTGTGTTTCATAGGCGCCGCCGGGTAATCGACCTACAGCAGTACGTGGCGGAGGAACACCTGTATGCTGGCGCTTCGAAGAAAGGGTCGAGCCATCACGAAGCTACCCAGACATCAGTACACATTCACCCCATTCTCTCAGATAAAGCTCACCGTATATCCAAGTGAATCCACTTCTAAAATGTCCTTACTGATGAACTTGCTCTCCTTGACACACGACTCCTCGTATGGGTCTTCGAGACGACCGGTAGTCGTCCATACTCAGAGCATCTCGACATAGGGCACCCTAGGGCCTAGACTGGTGACCAGCCCGAGGCAAGCCGGAGTGGTAAAATCTGGATGCTGAGCGGATTCACAGGGTAACGTGACGGATAATCCTTTTCGGGGATATCGGAGACCACGCGAACCTTTGCTAAGTTTTTGCTAAGTCCCCTCATAGAGGTCGGAACGAAAATTCTTCCAAGTTGCTCCTCCACATGCTTCGTATCGAGTTCCCCATTCCAGAAAGAGCGGTAGTTACAGCTATTTTCATATCGATAGATCAGAATCCAGAAAACTCACTTAGCCGCTTTTGTTTAATATTAGAGCGACACCAAACAAAGGCGCTCATGCTAGCTATTTTTGTACGTCGCGTAAGTCGTCATCATTGGGTACTTGTACAACGACTGCTGACCGTCATCATCATGCACGGAAACCGTCGACATACACATATATATATATTTAACGGAGACGAAGAGACGATCTCGCTCAAGTGCCAGAGAAACTAAGTGGAGCCTCATGTGATGACGAGCACGACTTACCTTTGACAACACCATGATTGTGGTGTCTTGCATCGCGAGAGCTTTGTTGTTTGACCATGGTGGTTACCTACGTACTGGTAGCATAGTACCACATCACCATGTGCGGCTGGTCGCGGATGTGCGTGCGCGCCGTGATTCCAAGGTCTCGTCAGAGCATTTGTACCGCCCCGCACAAGCCCCACAAGTAAGGTCAACGACTTACCGTAAAAAGTAGCTAGCCCAAGCGCCTCTGTTTGAGTGACTTGGTGTCGCTCCAATAATAAAAGCGGCTAAGTGAGTTTTCTGGATTCTAGTCCATCGATATGAAAATAGCTGTAAAGGTACAATTCTCCGCGTTTACAGAGGATGTACCCCTGCAATCAGAAACTGGAACCTGGAACCGAACCTCGCTGCAATTGTTTATCATCAAGACCTGTGTTTAAGAACTTGATGTGATATGCCACAGAAAGAGTGAAATATCAATCATTGATGGTACTGATAACGACCGGGAAGAGTGAGGTGCATGGCCGACACCACCTGACGTTAGTCGACGCCGCGGCCGACTTTGTTCAGCCCTGAAACGTGCCGATGTGTGGAAATGACTCCAGAGAACTCGTACGCGGTTGATACTAGTGTATTTGACGGTACGGATCGAGATCACTACCTCGTGGGTATCGTACAGTCAAAAATCAGGCTCACTACGTATGTTTTTCGTCGACTCGGTCCTAATTTAGCAGGATCGGCCTACTACGTAACTGGAATATTAATAGACATGATCATCTGATGTTGATGTGTATTTTTGGCAGCCAATGGTGTTGCGGCATTCCCGACTGCCGCGGTTCGGGTTCGAGTTACGTTCATGTTTTCTGATGGCATGTTTTATCCATGGCTTTAAATAACTTTATATTCTGGTATAACGAAAACCGGTTTGGCCAAACCTCTTCTATGTATAATCACATATCGTCATATATGATTATATCTCTCTGATGTACCAGGGGCAGTTGTGCCTCTTACATGTCTTCTCGCTTCACAGGACCTGCTCATGCGTTGGAGCCATCCGGAAATGAGAACTCGGGCTTGATAGTCTTGCCCCGTTAGGATTAATGTGGGCGCTAAGTGATTTTTCAATGAGACTGACGGCTGAATCTTACCGCGACCGTCCTCTTAGAACAATCCCTTGCAAAGGTTCTGGGTGTATGATAAGGCTTCAGGTGACCTATCAGAGTTAGGAGCGGACCTCGTAACGAAAAGGTATAAAGTCTCTTGAAGATTCCAATGTAATGCATTGACAAGTACCAGTCGCACCTCTTAACTCAAACATGAAGCTTTCTCTTGTCTTCAGCGTGCTCGCATCTATCGTGGTTCTTGCCACAGCGTACCCCACAGAAGGAGCCACTGGCATCGCGAAACGTTCTGGTGAGTATCCATAACTCGTCATTATGCGGAAGTTGACAAGCGCGACTTGCTGCTAGATGTCGAGAAGCGCGACTCTGAGGGACTTGACGTCGATGACAAAAAATATACCTTCAAGGACTACAGGAAGCGCGACTCTGAGGGACTTGACGTCGATGACAAAAAATACACCTTCAAGGACTACAGGAAGCGCGACTCGGAGGGACTTGATGTCGATGACAAAAAGTATACCTTCAAGGACTACAGGAAGCGCGACTCGGAGGGACTTGATGTTGATGACAAAAAATATACCTTCAAGGACTACAAGAGGGATGAGGGGAAGCGTGACTCAGAGGGACTTGACGTCGATGATAAAAAGTATACCTTCAAGGACTACAGGAAGCGCGACTCGGAGGGACTTGACGTCGATGACAAAAAGTATACTTTCAAGGACTACAGGAAGCGTGACTCGGAGGGACTTGACGTCGATGACAAAAAGTATACTTTCAAGGACTACAAGAGGGACGAGGGGAGGCGTGACTCAGAGGGACTTGACGTCGATGACAAAAAGTATACCTTCAAGGATTACAGGAAGCGCGACTCGGAGGGACTTGACGTCGATGACAAGAAGTATACCTTCAAGGACTACAAGAGGGATGAGGGGAAGCGTGACTCGGAGGGACTTGACGTCGATGACAAGAAGTATACCTTCAAGGACTACTGAACTTGACGCCAGGTTCTACCCAAGTCTGTATAACTTACTTTTTCGTGAGAGTCATCCGGACATCGTATTAGGTCTGGCATCGCCGCAACCTTACCTACAAGTTACTTGCCTGTACATCTATCTCGATTCCCTTACCTGATCGTTTCTGACATGTTGCGTGCCAATGTACTCTATACAATCCCAATTGTCTCACTCTCTGTGACTTTAACTATAGACCTATAGGCCCAGCGTTCTTGCCGCTAAGTTATCGTGTGGTGACGTCGCGTCCTGCATTTTCCAACGGGCCTCGCGTGTTGTCACATTAAGTGCTCTTAGTTCCTGTTTAAAACGAGAGAGACGGTATGTCAACTGTAGTTTGCTCAGTGCTAGCTGGCTCTCGTCCAAGTCATATCAAGGACTCCACTAAGTATCTTCTCTTGAATGGTCTTACTACGGGAGACTACGTGTTCCTCACATCCTAAGTAATAGCATGTAGCAACATATACATCGCGCATGACTAGAAGAACAAAATACAATGACAATAGAACTGAAAGAGCAATTAACCTAACCGAATTTTTGGGCGTCGTTCTCTGTCGCTCACCAGGACCCCTGCTCCTCATCGATGCAGCTCATGCTGTGACATTGCCTTGATGCTACTCAACCGCACCGCAATAGGAAACAACGACACATTCTCACTCGACGCGTAGTACTGCACGCAGTCCAGGTGAAACTTGCTACGAAAAAATGTCAGCCGGGAATGCGGTGACCGCGTGAATGAAAATAAATAACTTTAAACCTGGAGACAAGCAGTGTCAGAATCTCAGATACCGCACGCAGACGATGGGGCGCTCACCAGTGGCTAAAGTTAGACTCAAACATCTTCAGGAATTCCCAACGTTTGTTCATCGCCTGGTCGCCGTCGCCGCTCTCTACTGCTGCGAGCGCGTGATTGGCGGACTGGGAGAAGGAGGAGGTGCGCAGTGCAAGCGTAAAGCATGTCACTATCATGCGGGAGTACGCCTGGAGGTGCGACGATCAGTGGGTGTTTGGGTCTGAGGTCGCACACATACCCTCAGCAGTGTGGTACTCGTCAACATGCATTCTTTCAGGCATGTATCCAGAAAGTCTACGTGATCCCTTAGAAGTTGGTCTACGGTGGTCACCTTAGCCAATTTCGTCTCTAGTGTCCGCCAGTTATGTTCAAGAACGTCGAATGTCATGAAAGCCAGGATTTGCGGAACGAATGCGAGTATAAGGAGCGCAACTCGCAGTCGCCACTGCCCGAACTCGGGATAGTTTGGCACAGGACGCCGCCAGGGACTTGTCTTCTGTTCTATCCACATCAATGCGAGCGACTGTTCTACGTACTTGAGACGTCAGAGAAAATGGAAGAGGAGCTGGCAACGCAAAATCGTTTTGCGAGAGATGACGAGCGAAAGCGGGAATTTCACGTTGTAGTCGAGTGTAAGGGCATCGATCGCTTGTTTGGAATGAGTAAGGACGGTAGGCGCAAAAGCTTTACGCACATACCTAACATATGCCTCTTGTCATCCTTCTCCCGGTCGCGATCCTTCTTTGTTGCTTCATCTGGCACGCCATCGCCTTTCTCACCGCCGATCTCGCTAATGACTTTGAGTAACCAATCATACAATCCGCTGCTCGCGATGCTAGCTCGCACATCTTCGCGGAACACGACGTCTTCCCCTGTAAGTGCAAGATCGAGCAAACTCTGTAGCTTAACGATACTGACACACTTTGCGTGCTTTTTCAGCTCTGTGTGGGCAAGGTCTAAGTGGAAGCATGAGGAGGGCAGAAATAAATAACGCTGGAGAGAGCAGAGCCGCGGTACAAGCTATTGATCTTGCAGCAGGAGACGTAAGAGAGTGCGATTCGCATTTGTATACGCGTCTTCAATAAATTTGTAAAGCCTAAAAATGCCCACGAATTTTTTAAAAAAACACAGGGACTAACCCAACGAAGAAAACGCACTTTCATCTTCCATGAACAGCGAATTTTATCCTTCCGATTAGGTTGCAGTCCGATCCCACATTCACGTATCACGTCAAGGCCAGCAAAATTGTGTTTCCTACGCTCCAGAAGGGGCGGTATATAAGCGCCACCGGGTAATCGACTTACAGCAGTATGTGGCGGATGAACACCTGTATGTTGGCGCTTCGACGAAAGGGTCGAGCCATCACGAAGCTACCCCGACATCAGTACACATTCACCCCACCATCTTAGATACAAAGCTCACCACATATCCTAATACTCGTCCATGTAATCCGCTTCCAAAATGCCCTTAATGAATGAACTTGCTCTCTTTGACACAGCTCCTCGTATGGCTCTTCGAGAAGACCCGTAGTTGTCCATACTCGGAGCATCTCAACATAGGGCACCCCCGCTGCAGTTAGAAGAGTTCCGTATACCTAAATTTCAAGGTATAGCACGGGTATAGCGGGTACGGACATAGTCTGCATGATTTCTGCGAACAGAAGCGATAGTACCTGTGATCTGAATAGTCGATCGTCTGCATGACATGATAAGTATACATGACAGGTAAGGAGACCCGTACCTGTACTCTTTTGCAGACAAACCAAGGTTCAACGTTCATCTTGCGGCCTCCTGAGCGCGTTTGTGGAGTGGAAAGGTCCATATTACAGCTATTTTCATATCGATAGACCAGAATCCAGAAAACTCACTTAGCCGCTTTTATTTATCATTGGAGCTTCACCAAACAGAGGCGCTTAGACTGGCTACTTTTATGGTAAGTCGTTGACCTTGTGGGGCTTGTGCGGGGCGGTACAAATGCTCTGACGAGACCCTGGAATCACGGCGCGAACGCACATCTGCGACCAGCTGCACATGGTGATGATTGGTACTATGCTACTAGTAACCACCATGGTCAAGCAACGAAGCCCTCGTCGTGCAAGACACTACAATGTTTGTCAAAGGTAAGTCATGCTCGTCATCAGATGCATATGAGGCTCCACTTGGTTTCTCTGGTACTTGAGCGAGATCGTCTCTTCGTCTCCGTTGAAAACGATATATATGTCGACGGTTTCCGTGCATGATGATGACGGTCGGCAGTCGTTGTACTAGTACTCCCCAAGTAATGATGACGACTTACGCGACTTACAAAAGTAGCTAGCATGAGCGCCTTTGTTTGGTGTCGCTCCAATAATAAATAAAAGCGGCTAAGTGAGTTTTCTGGATTTTGGTCTATCGATATGAAAATAGGGTACCGCACGGGTAACACCGAGGGTCGGAAAGTTGACACCGCACCCGCACCCGCCAACACCGTACCCTTCACGGGTACGGGTACACACCGACCCGTCAATGTCGCGGTTTATGGAAAACACCGCGGGGTACATTACCAAGAAGAGTGTATTAAGTATTAACAACAATGAAATAAAATAGTACTACTTTTCCTTGTCATTCTCCTCTGCTTCGACTTCATTTCGCTTCCGTTTTTGAGTCCTGACAGCGGCTAAAAGGTCCTCCATCACCAGAAGATCACTTCTGCCCCACGCTCCGAGGCAGAGAAAGGCACGAATTGTTGATGGTGCGAGTCGGTTGCGAGTAAAATGAAGGAGCTGCCGGCCCTGCGAGAAGACACGTTCAACCGCAGTTGATGTTGCTGAGCAAGATAATAAGTATTGATTGATTGAAAGAGGATTCGAAGGAGACATACCTGGGACAGAGAGATAGTCGAGTGCCATCCGATGCAGCATTGGATAAGCACGGCAGTTGTTTTGCCACCATGCGAGTGGGTCCTTGGTTTTCACAGTTGGTAATCGAAGAAACTCATCCAACTCGCTACTAGTAGTACGAGACATGGAACCAAGTGAGTAGTCACCAAAGTCATCCTCGTTCTGGATAGTTGTCAGTGTCAGTGCAAAATTAAATGTTGCATACGGACTGTGTCTGCTTCAATGTCATCAGTAATCTCGGCAGATTTCTCGTATTTATCAATAAACTCTTCGCGAACGAGCTTCTCGGCAATGTCAATCCATTCTTTCTCCCAGGAATGCTCACGGAAGTACTCGAGCTTCAAGCCAGGATGTAGGACTTTATGAAGATGATTAATCAATGATGTCAATGAAAGTTTGAAAGGCTGACCCATGGCAATGCGGTATACGTTGGAGAGATCTGTAATCTTCCAGTAGCGATCCATCTTGTTCTTTGCAAGCTGCATAGCCGACACAACTGCAGGGTGATATGCTTCTTTTGCCTTGGCTTTATGGTAGTGACTCGAGCTTCTCTGCAACGAAGTGTCAGCTCAATAAATTGCTAGAATGATTCACGGGGGTACAAAAGACATGACAGAAATCAGTATAGCATTCACTTGTGATCCTCAAGCTCTCAGAGGAAGGAAAAACAGAGAATCAAACACGGTGTTCAATGGCTGTCGCGCGCCTGGTTCCCGATTTGGTATATTATACCCGCCCAAACACCGTCAACCCGCGGTGAATGGCCACGGTATGCTCAAGGGTACGACTATCCTACTCCGTACCCGTACCCTCCAAACCCGTCAGCATAGAACCGCGGTGTTACCCGTACCCGTGCGTTTCCCTATATGAAAATAGCTGTAATCGGACAAGTTGCAAATTCGGACGCGATAGATGCACAAGACACGTGATAGCTGGTTGAAAAATTAAAATATGGTCGTGTGAACTGCGAGTCGTCCTATCGGAAGTCGTAGGTCTCACGAACACTGGGGTGAGTCTGTAATGCCAATTATGCCAGTGGCCACCTACTACTAGTACCAGTATTGACTCAGATACATCTCAGGATTCTTACAAAAGATCATGTGCTTGAGTGCAGCATTAAGTGAGTGATGTTGTCATGATTCTCATGATGAAGCAGCTCAAGGCTTGATCGATTGATCTGCAGTGGATTGCAAGTATTCTACAACGCCCTGTAGTGACAACTTGAATGCATTGTACTACTACTAAGTTTTCCTTCGACACCAATCTGCCTAGCATTGCTTATGTATCACTTCGTCCAGCTTTACTTGGCATACAATTCGGTGGGTTTTCGATCTGATCTTGCCAGTTAAATGTAGGAAAAACATCGTCTCACCGATGGCAGGCAGAGATATTGCACTAGTATTGCACCTAGCCTGGAAATACTATAACCCCTCGACTTAGTGGTACGGAGGCCTAGGTCTATCACCTCTTATTATTAGGCTAACGTGGGAGTTACAGATGTTTTGCTCATACAGATGCCTCCAAGCTGGTACCCTTGTTTCTAATGCCGCTTTCTCACCTTGAAGTGTCATTCTGTGGCGCCTACAATTTTGGATTTGAGGTTCACTTGACTGCATCGCCCTCACTCCTCCTGCCGTGGGGCCGGATCGCCCTTTTGAGGAGTCCACCCCAAAAAACATTTGCTTCAATAAAGCAAGCATTTCCTGTTGTTATCGCTACCACTACTCAGGCCGTTGCATGATAGCAAACAAGTTTGGTATGTCGTTCCTGCCTCCCGTTTTGTAGAATTTGCTTTGAGTCGGTGTCGAGTCACCATCAATTACTATGGAGCTGACCTAGACAGATTTTGCTCATGCCGAGGCGGTCGGAACGAAACTTCTTTTAAGTTGCTCTTCCACATGTTCGTGTCGAGTTCTCCATTCCAATCAGATTAAATCCACAGTTCTCCGCGCTTGCAGAGGATTTGCCCATGCAACCAGAAACTAGATTATTCTTGAACCGCAATTATTTGTCATCAAGACCTGTGTTTAGAACCTTGATGTGATATTCCGCAGCAAGAGTGAAATATCAATCATTGAGGGCGCTGATAACGACTGGGAAGAGTGAAGTGTATGTTGACAGGGACGCCACCACCTGACCGCCGTTAGTGTAGTAGTTGACGCTGACTTTGTTCAGCCCTGAAACGCATGCCCATGAGTGGAAAGGATATGAAAGAACTCGTGTGTAGTTGATAATAGCGCATCAACGTGGACAGTACGGATCGCGATCACTACCTCATAGGTACCGTAGAGTCAAAAATCAGGTTTACTAGGTAGCAGACGTTTTCGTATTTAGTTTCGACTCGTCCCAATATGGCAAGATCGGCATAGTACTAGTAACTGGACTCTGGAGATAGAATTGTTCATTTGTGTATTTTTGGCAACCAATGATGTTCCCGACTGCGGCGAACCGTTCTGGTCTTCGAATTTTGCAAATGCGAGATACAGCCTCAGTAGTTTTCCGCTGCTTATACATGGCTTTTTATAACACTATATTCCAATATGACGAAAACCTGTCCTATGTTATAATCTAGTATGTGATGATATCTGCGGCTGTCCTCTGAATCTCTGATACAGGGGTGTTGTCCCTCCTACTAGTACATATCACTGTCTCGCGTGACAGGACTGCCCATGCAATGAACCCATCTTGAGATGAGAATTTGCCGGGCCTCATGGTCTTGCCTCGTTAGGATCAATGTGGGCGTAGTGGGTAATTTCTCAATGAGACTGACAACTGAATATTACTATGGCACTGTCACAGGTTGCGACCGTCCACTTAGAACGATCCCTTGCAAAAGTTCTGTGTGGATAAGGCTCTAGCAAATTCAGGTGACCTGAGTCACAAGTGGACCTACGAAAAGGTATAAAGCTCTCTTGAAGATTCCAATGTAATACATCAACAAAGTACCAGTCGCACCTCTTAGTACTAACTCAATATGAAGCTTTCTCTTGTCTTCACCGTGCTCGCATCCATCGTTGTTCTTGCTACAGCGTACCCCACACAAGGAGCCGCTGGCATCGCGAAACGTTCCAGTGAGTATTCATAACTCATCATGATGCGGAGGTTGACAAGCGTGACTTGCTGCTAGATGTCGAGAAGCGTGACTCGGAGGGGATTGACGTCAATGACGAAGACTATCAGTTCACCAGTTACAAGAAGCGCGAACTTGGGGTCGACGACTCCGACTATCAGTTCGTCGACTACAGGAAGAGGGACGAAGGGAAGCGCAGCTCGGAGGAACTTGGGGTCGATGACTCCGACTATCAGTTCCTCAACTACAAGAAGAGGGACGAAGGGAAGCGTAGCTCGGAGGAACTTGGGGTCGATGACTCCGACTATCAGTTCCTCAACTACAGGAAGAGGGACGAAGGGAAGCGCAGCTCGGAGGAGCTTGGGGTCGATGACTCCGACTATCAGTTCCTCAACTACAGGAAGAGGGATGAAGGGAAGCGCAGCTCGGAGGAACTTGGGATCGATGACATCGGCTATAATTTCCTCAACTACAGGAAGAGGGACGAAGGGAAGCGCAGCTCGGAAGAACTTGGAGTCGATGACTCCGACTATCAGTTCCTCAACTACAGGAAGAGGGACGAAGAGAAGCGCAGCTCTGAAGAACTTGGGGTTAATGACTCCGGCTATGAGTTCCTCAACTACAGGAAGAGGGACGAAGGGAAGCGCAGCTCAGAGCAACTTGGGGTCAATGACACCAGCTATGAGTTCCTCAACTACAGGAAGAGGGACGAAGGGAAGCGCAGCTCAGGGGAACTTGGGGTCAATGACACCAGCTATGAGTTCCTCAACTACAGGAAGAGAGACGAAGGGAAGCGTAGCTCAGAGCAACTTGGGGTCAATGACACCAGCTATGTGTTCAGCAACTACTGAACTTGACGCCAGGTTCTGTACAGGTGAGTTATAGCTGTATGTCTTATTTTTTGTGAGAGTCATCCATCGTACTAGGTCTGGCATCGCCGCAGCCTTGCCCACAAGTTACTGCCCTGTAGATCTATATATCTTGACTCTCTTATCTGATTGCTTGGTTTCTGACATGTTGCGTACCTATGTAGTAGTACAATCCTAGTTGTCTCACTTAAATATAGATTTGGTGTTCTTGCTACTAAGCTATCATCTGGTGACATCGCGGCTTGCATTTTCCAACGAGCCCCGCGTGTTGTCATCTCAAGTGCTCTCAGTTCCTGTTTAAAATGAGACAGACAGTTAGCTTGCTCAACGCTAGGCCACCGGGAAATCACGAGATCACTTTTGATCCCACTTATGCACCACTTTTCGCACGACTTCAAGCGCAAAATCACGGTAGAAAAAGTAGAACCAACTTTTTCAGTTGATCTCATTAGATCGTAGCGGCGCGAGCGCCAATCCCCGACTCCGCAACTTGAAGACGACACTGAGATAAAATACATTTTCAAATACTGCAAGACAACAACGTAGGTCATTTATACAGTTTCGAGCCAAGACAAAGAAGCTACCAAGAAAAACAATCACTTGAACCTACTCGACCATATAGTATACTCGAGGCTTGAACTAATTCTGTAAGTAGAAGAGCAGACCAACGGATTTTCGGCAGAGCAACAAAAACCTTTTTTGCGTACAAATCGCTGAAGTATCTTGCCAAACGAGGCACGAGTAGCTGGCTACCTTCTGAAACAATCGCGGAACGAGAAAGCACTAGTGTTTGTATTTCGTCTTTACTCGATCGCATCACTCGTTGTTGGGTAGCGATGAAGTGAGCCTGAGATAGCACTCAACACACATGGTCCATTTTTGATCTTCCTCGCCAAACAGAGATACGAGAAACACACTCAACTAGGGCATTATCCAAGAGGGCCGGCAAATTTTGCTCATTTCCTCACTGTCACGGTAGTGGAACCATCTCGGGTAGACATCTAGTCTCAAAGGCAGACACTTCTCAACGGAGAGAGATTCACGAGAGGAAAGCTTGCACAAGACAACACATATCATACGCTGAGCACGAACTGGCGCACGTGAGTAAATTTCCGTCTTGACTCAACCTTTCGTTCCGACGTATTCAGAGCGTTCGGGAAAGAAAAATAAATAAAGATTCAGAATGACTATACTATGATCCCCTACGGTACACTAATATTTCGTGATTTTTGTCCACAGCACTCAATTTTAAAGCAATTGCTTAGTTACTTCACTGAGCATGCTCTACATATTATACTAGCATATTCCAAGTGAAACGAAACAGATCCGTGGAGAAATGGTGGAGAATCTGGAGATCGTGTTTTCAGTGTGATAGCAGCAAAAATCATGGATCGGTGTCACCTGCCGTGGCTGCCGATGTCGGACATTAAATCTAACAGTGCGTTTCATTGCAGCTCCCGCAATCCATGAGCAAGTAGCGAGCACTGAGCTGGGCTCAATCGCCATGCTATGGGCCGTCAGGCAAGCTGGTGGCGTCTACAGACCCCGATTATGAGTCCAGGATCCAGGCTGCACTCGTGGGTGTCACAAATGGCACCTACAATAATATTACAGTAGCTGCAAGGGTAACCAAGTACTCAAGGTATGATCATGTATATTTCGAGTTCCTGCAGTGCTAATTTCATTGTACAAGTCGCAGCCCAGAACAAAGCCGAAAACGATGTTCGGCTCTCGCGCATTGAGGAAGATATCAAAACGAAGATATTCGACAGCTCGCTATCATCATACGATCGCAAGGACGACCTCGTTACCATCGCCAGCGCTCTTCCGCTACCCAGAGATGGGACAATGATTGAACTGACTGCACGAATCAAAGAACATCTTGCAGGAAATCCTGACTGTGCCCGTCAGCCAAGGTTCGCGGGACTTCCTTGGAATGATCTAAGAATATACCATAGTTCCTTGGCATTGCGGATGCAATATTAATACGGGTACATGATATCTCAATTCGGAAGTATTGCAAGGCATCTATGGTGATTTCCGACACAGGAGACCTGTGCACTTAGTACGAAAAGGTATAAAGTCCTCTTGAAGATTCTAATGTAATACATCGACAAAGTATCACTCGCACCTCTTAACTCAACCATGAAGCTTTCTCTTGTCTTCAGCGTGCTCACATCCATCATGGTTCTCGCTACAGCGTACCCCACGCAAGGAGCCACTGGCATTGTGAAACGTTCCAGTGAGTATTCATAGCTCATCACCATGCGGAGGTTGACAAGCGTAACTTGCTGCTAGATATCGAGAAGCGCGACCCCGATGAACTTGACGTCAATGACAACAACTATATCTACGCAGAGTACGGACAATTCCCACAGCAGTGACGCTATGTTTTACACACATGAGTTGTAGCTGTATATCTTATTTTTTGTGAGAGTCATCCATCGCACTAAGTCTGGCATCGCCGCAGCCTCACCTACACGTTACTTCCCTATACATATACACATCTCTTTTCTAACTGCTTAGCTTCCGACATGTTGCGTGCCTATGTAATACCATCCCAGTTGTCTCACTCTTTGTGACTTAACTATAAACCTATGATCCAGTGTTCTTGCCACAAAGCTATCATCTGGTGACATTGTATGTTGCATTTTCCAACTCGTGTGCTGTCACCTTAAGTGCTCTCAGTTCCTGTTCGAAACAAGAGAGATGGTATGTCAATTGTAGCCTGCTCAGTGCTAGCTGGCTCTCATCCGAGGCATATTATCAAGGAACAACTGTCTTCTTTTGAATGGTCTTACTACGGGAGACTACGTTGTTCCTCACATCCTAAGTAATAGCATGAGATAACATATATATTGCGCGTGGCTAGAAGAACAAAATGCAACAACGACAGACCTGAGAAAGCAATAAACCTAAACGAATTTTTGGGCGTCGTTCTCTGTCAATCACCAGGGCCCCCCACTTCACATCGATGCAGCTCATGCTATGATATCGCCTTGATGCCACTCAACCGCACCATAAGAGGAAGCAGCGACACATTCACTCGATGCGTAGTACTGTACGCAGTCTAGATGAAACTTGTACAAAATAATTGTCAGTCGGGAATGCGGTAACCGCGTGAATAAAACATTGCATTAAACCTAGAGACAAGCAGCGTCAGAATCTCACTTTCCAAATACCATACGCAGACGATGGGGTGCTTACCAGTGATTAAAGCTCAACTCAAACTTCTTCAGAAATTCCCAGCGTTTGTTCATCGCCTGATGGCCGTCACCGCTCTCCGCTGCTGCGAGCGCTTAATTGGCGGACTTGGTGAAGGAGGTGTACGGTGCGAATGTAGAGCACGTCACTATCATGCGGGAGTACGCCTAGAGGTGCGACGATCAGTGGGTGTTTGGGTCCGAGCTTGCACACTTACAGCAGTTTGGCACTCGTTAATATGCATTCTTTCAGGTACGTGTCCAGAAAGTCCACGTGATCCCTCAGAAGCTGGTCTACGGTGGTTACCTTAGCCAATTTCGCCTCCAGCCCCCGTCAGTTAGGTTCAAGAACCCCGAATGCCGTAAAAGTTAGTATTTGCCGAACGAAAGCGAGTATGCGAACTCTCAGGAGCGCAACCCGCAGTCGTCACTACTCGAACTCAGGGTGGTTTGGTACAGGACGCCGCCAGGGACTTGTCTTCTGTTCTATCCACATCGATGCGAGTGACTGTTCTGCATGCTTGAGAAGTAAGAGAAAACGGAAGAGGAGCTGGTAACGCAAAATCGTTTTGCGAGAGATGACGAGCGAAAGCGGGAATATCACGTTGTAGTCGAGTGTAAGGACATTGATTGCTTGTTTGGGATGAGCAAGGACGGCAGCTCAAAGGTTTCACGCACATACCTAATATATACTTTTTGTAGTCCTTTCAAGGGGTAAGTAAGACGACGCCTGAGCCATGGGGGGAATTGACCTCGAGCATGCCCAGATAGCAGCGCAGAGTGCAAGGACAAGCCCAAAATCGAGGTGGCTGCGGCTCTCTACAAAAGAGGAGATAGCACTAGCCGTTCTGTTAGGTCTCGAAGGGACGAATCTGTAAAAAGTATGATCGAGAACGATCTCCCTTGAGCTGTAAGACAAACCTAGGGGAAAGGACACAACAAGATGTATTCCCTTCAGTGGGTCGTCATCTTCTGGCGAGTGTTCAGGATAATGGGAAATATATGTTCCTCGATGTCCTAGGTTCAGGTGAGAACGAGGTGAAGCACAAGGCAGAGGCACGAAAATAAGTAAAAACAATTATGAGGTTAAGCAGGAACACCAAAGCTCCGGTCATTGTTGAAATTGTAGACTGAATATGAACTGAAATGAAGGAAAGGTGATGAATAGGTGGTGATCGAACATCTGACACAAAGAAGGTCCGCAGGATGTTCCAGCTGATACCACAAAACGGCCATACACCTCGAACATGACGACAACTCGCGAAAACATACCATCAGAACATAGAGGAGATCCTCTACAATCAAAGCCTCTTGTATATCTACGAGAAGATTGTCCAACACATCTTCCTTTGCCTTCCCCTTTGTCTTAGCCTGTATCGAAGCAGATGCGCCGACGCGTGAGTTCAATGGTGCGCGAACGAATGAACGAAGTCTCAGCGATACATAACGGCTCGTAGCCTGCATGTCATCAATACTTTAGTACGCAACTCATCGAGGTCAACGCACTTTTGCCGTGATGAGCGCAAGCGAACATCTGCATCTTCGTAGATGTCGTCGCTCCGTTGTCTGTTCTGCGAACAGAAATGATAGTGTCTGTGATCTGAATGGTCGATCGTCTGCATGTCATAATAAGTATACATGACAGGCAACCGGGAGACTCGTACCTTGCTGTACTCTTTTGCAGACGAACCAAGGTTCTTCTTGCGGCCTCCTGGACGCGTCCGTGAAGTGAGAGGGCTCATACTAATTTTAGAACAACCATGCTAGTTGCAGATTCGGACGCAATAGATGCACAAAGCACGTGATAGTTGGTTCATAAATTACATAACACATAGTCGTGCGCAGGCGCGAGAAAGCTGTGAAGAATCGTCCTATCGATAATCGGAAGTCGGAGGTCTCGCGAACGCTGGGATCCACGGTGACTCGGTGAGTCTCAGTTATGACCGGTCTGACCACCTACTATGTAGTACCAGTATCGACTCAAATACATCTCAGGATTCTTACAAAAGATGTGCTTGGGTGCAGCATTGAGTGAGTAATGTTGTCATGATTCTCATGCGATGAAGCAGTTCACGGCTTGATCGATTGACTTCATCTGCAGTGGCCCGGGATTGCAAGTATTCCACAACGCCCTGTAGTGACAATGCATTAAACTAAGTTATCCTTCGGTGCCAATCTGCCCATAGTTATATATCGCTTGACTCTTTGTCCAGCTTTACTTTTGCATACAATTCGGTGGATGTTTGATCTGATCTTGCCAGATAACATCGTCTGGTTCGTCTCGAGGCCGATGGCAGGCAGAGATATTGCACCAGTATTGAATCTAGCCTGGAAATACTATAACACCCTCGACTTAGTGGTGCGGAGGCCCGGGTCTATCACCTCTTATTAGTAGGCTAACGTGGGGGTCACAGACATTTTGCTCACGCAGATACCCGCAATGTTGCTCATGCGGATACCCACAACATTGCTCATACAGATGCCTCCAAGCCGGTACCCTCTTCTTTCCAATGCCGCTTTCTCACTTTAGGGATTATATCCCAAAAACTATTTGCTTCAACAAGCAAACATTTCCTGTAGTTCTCGCTATCACCACCAAGGCCGTTGCATGACAGCAAACAAGTTTGGTATTCTATACCCCGAAGTAAGGTACATTTGCTAACTTTGCAACTGTGTCGGCGGTGTGTCACGCGCGATCCACGATTGCCTCCAGACACAGATCATAGATGGAGTATCTCCATATGTCCACGAACGTCGACGCCGTTTCCTGGACTTCTTTCGATCAAATCGATCTTAGGCTTCTCCGAGTTCCACGCACTTCTCCGATCACCCCGGGCCAGTTCCACATCGAATACTACCTCCCTTCCAGCGCTCCGCTGGTGCATGTGACTCTTGCACTGGCGGAGCTGCTGTACAATAACCTAATATACCTGAAACACAGTCGACTGGGGACATATTCAAAATTAATACACTCCTAAATATTTTTCAGGATATGTATCGCATCTAGTACCCTCGCGTGTTCCAAACTATCCCCGAGTTCAGCAAACAGAGTTGCCCAAGAGTCAATATCAGAGATTCTTCACAGTACTTTCTGTTGATACTTTTGACGACGATAATGAGGAGAAATCAGTTGGTGATGCAGATGGACAGACCACATCGAACGGTATGGTTATTAATCCATTACAGCTCCAGCAAATGTAAGCCCTCAACTCCGTTGTCTGGTAAGCTATACTACACCGAAAGTCGTTCTTGCCTCACGTTTTGTAGAATTTATTTCGTGAAGCCTCGTGGCTCGAGTACTATGGACCCACAAATATTTCGTTCCAGGACAAGCCTGAAGTAGTCCGCATGCATCTTGGTACATATACTCTTATTGGTGCATCTCCTGCTTATCGTATACCTCATAGATCTTTGTATTGAAATGATATCATATGTAGTGGCCGATGTGACGATAATAACATGTGACTCGATCCAGGGACACGATATCCCATACCCCAATTTCAATACCCACCATCAATGCAGGAACTACGAGAAAATTGGGCTGACAAGCACGCTGTTCATATCGATAAATCCGAGGTTACTCGCTTCGAAGGTAGGGTTAACCTCCCCCTTACCCTTCTATCCGATGAACCATCTAATCTAATTTCCGGCGGTTCGTGTCCACTCCGTCATGTCGTGCAGCGCTGACGCACGCTCTTAAGGGCTTAGTCGAATTAATGTATTGTTAGTAGTACATTAATGGCATAGGAACGAACGAATGATATATTTGGCCATCTATATACGTCATGTAAGCTCACTTGAAGCTTCAATCATGAACAAATCTAAAACCAAGTAGTAGGAATATAAATATTATAGGAACCATCGTTTTGGTCACTGGGATATGATGTTTATTCTCTAACATTGTACTGGTCAATTCTTAAAGGTATTTTTAGGTGCTGGTTATTTATCAGTGCTCAATTTCCGTCCAGGTCTTAAGTGTTGATGCATTTGAGTCGCGCCCAAGAACAATAATAGGAAATTTCAATTAGTATCAAGACTGACACGGCTATAATTTACTTCCATGGGTCACCGGCCACCCGCAATAGTTTCGAGTCTGGATCAGCTGACTTAGATGCCGGGGCGGTCGGAACGAAACTTCTCTTAAGCCGCTCCTCCACATGCGTCGTGTAGAGTTTCCCATTCCAGTCAGATTAAAGGCACAATTCTCCGCGTTTACAGAGGACCCGGTGTTTATCCCTGCAACCAGAAACTGGATCATCCTGGAACCGAACCTCGTTGCAATTGTGTGCCATCAAGACCTGTGTTTAATACCTTGATGTGATGTGCCGCAGCAAGAGCTGAAATATCATTGAGGGTACTGATGACAACTAGGAGGAGTGAGGTGCATGCTGACAGCCTGAGGACCGCCACCATATGATCGCCGTTAGTGTAGTGCTAGTTGACGCTGACTTTGTTCAGGCCTGGAACGCGTGCCGATGCATGGAAAGGATTTGAAAGAACTTGTACGTGGTTAATACTAGTGCATTGGACGGCACGGGTCCCCATTACTACCTCATGGGTACCGTACAGTCAAAAATCAGGCGTACTAGGTAGCAGACGTTAGTATCGACTAGTCCCAATATGGCAAGATCGACATCAGGTAACCGATGTATATTTTTGGCAGCCAATGATGTGTTACGATATTCCCGACTGCGGCGGTTCGTAGTCTCCGAATTTTGCAAATGCGAAATACAGCCTTAGCGGTGATTGCAGTAAACGTTTGCCGATGCATCGATGTCGATGAGGTTCAAGCGCTTATACATGGCTTTTTATAACTTGATATAGTCCAATTATAACGAAAACCTGTCCTATAATCATATATCGGCAATGGTTCGGATGATGTCTGCGGCTGTCCTCTGATGCAGGGGTGTTCAATGTCCCTCTTACATATCACTTTCAACTCGTGACAGGACTGCACATGTAGTGGACCCATCCGGAGATGCGAATTCAGCCCTTCGGGCTTGATGGTCTTGCCTCGTTAGGATCAATGTGGGCGTAGTGAGTAATATCTCAATGAGACTGACCGCTCAATCTTACTACTGTCACAGGTCGCGGCCGTCCACTTGAAACAATCCCTTGCAAAAGTTCTAGGTGAATAAGGCTTCAGCCAATTCAGGTGACCTGAGTCATGAGCGGACCTACGAAAAGGTATAAAGTGCTCTCGAAAATTGCAATGTAATACATCGACAAAGTCACCCAGTCGCACCTCTTAACTCAAACATGAAGCTTTCTATTGTCTTCAGCGTGCTCGCATCCATCGTGGTTCTTGCTACAGCATACCCCACACAAGGAGCCGCTGGCATTGCGAAACGTTCCAGTGAGTATTCATAACTCATCATCATGCTGAGGTTGACAAGCTGCTAGATGTCAAGAAGCGCGACTCGGAGGGTCTTGACGTCAATGACAAGCTCTATGACTTCGCCAGTTACAAGAAACGTGACTCGGAGGGTCTTGACGTCAATGATAAGCTCTATGACTTCGCCAGTTACAAGAAGCGTGACTCGGAGGAAATTGGCGTCAATGACAAGCTCTATGACTTCGCCAGTTACAAGAAGCGTGACTCGGAGGGTCTTGACGTCAATGACAAGCTCTATGACTTCGCCAGTTACAAGAAGCGCGACTCGGAGGGTCTTGATGTCAACGACAAGCTCTATGACTTCGCCAGTTACAAGAAGCGCGACTCGGAGGGTCTTGATGTCAATGACAAGCTCTATGACTTCGCCAGTTACAAGAAGCGCGACTCGGAGGAAATTGGCGTCAATGACAAGCTCTACGACTTCGCCAGTTACAAGAAGCGCGACTCGGAGGGTCTTGATGTCAACGACAAGCTCTATGACTTCGCCAGTTATAAGAAGCGCGACTCGGAGGGTCTTGACGTCAATGACAAGCTCTATGACTTCACCAGTTATAAGAAGCGCGACTCGGAGGAAATTGGCGTCAATGACAAGGTCTATGATTTCACTGATTACAAGAAGCGCGACTCGGAGGAAATTGGTGTCAATGACAAGGTCTATGACTTCACTAATTACAAGAAGCGCGGCTCGGAGGAAATTGGCGTCAATGACAAGGTCTATGACTTTGCCAGCTACAAGAGGAGTGAGGGGAGGCGCACCTCGCAGGAACTTGGAGTTGATGACTCTAGCTACGAGTTCACAAACTACAGGAAGAGGGATGAAGGGAAGCGCCAGCTCGGAGGAACTTGGGGTCCATGACTCCAGCTATGACTTCACAAAACTACTGAACTTGACGCCAGGTTCTATGCAGGTGAGTTATAGCTATATGTCTTGTTTTTTGTGAGAGTCATCCATCGTACTAGGTTCTGGCATCGCCGCAGCCTCGCCCACAAAGTTACTTCCTTGTATATCTACATACATATCTTGATTTTATCTGATTGCTTGGTTTCTGACACGTTGTAATACGATCCCGGCTGTCTCACTCTTTGTGACTTAACTGTAGACATATATTAGACTCAGCGTTATTGTTACCATTGCGCATTACATTTCCCAACTCGTGTGTTGTCGCCTCAAGTGCTCTCAGTGCCTGTTTAAATTATACGGTATGTCAATCGTAGCCTGCTCAGTGCTAGCTGGCTCTCGTCCGAGTCATATCAAGGAACAACTATCTTCTCTCGAATGGTCTTACTACAGGAGGCTAGGTGTTCCTAAGTAATAGCATGTAGCGACATATATATCACGCATGGCTAGAAGAACAAAATGCAATAACGACAGACCTAACAAAGCCATAAACCTAACCGAATTTTTGGGCGTCGTTCTCTGTCACTCACCAGGACCCCACTTCTCATCGATATGACTGATGCTATGACATCGCCTTGATGCTACTCAACCGCACCACAAGAGGAAGCAATGACACACTGGCATTCTCACTCGACGCGTAGTACTGCACGTAGTCCAGCTGAAACTTGTACAAAAAATTGTCAGCCGGGAATGCGGTAACCGCGTGAATGAAACAACATCACCTTAAACCTAAAGACATGCAGCGTCAGAATCTCACTTTCTAAATACCGCACGCAGACGATGGGGCGCTCACTAGTGATTAAAGTTAGACTCAACCTTCTTCAGGAATTGAGTCCCAGCGTTTGTTCATCGCCTGGTCGCCGTTGCTGCTCTCTGCTGCTGCGAGCGCTTGATCGGCGGACTTGGTGAAGGGGGCGTACAGTTCGAACGTAGAGCACGTCACTATCATGTAGGAGTACGCCTGGAGACACTCTAATGGGGTGTGAGATGCATCATATGCAGAGCGCACTGTTAACTTCTCTCACACTGAACATGTGCTATGCTATACAGATAGTTGTATGTAACACGTTAGGGCGGTTACGCAGCGATTCTACAATGTGGCAAGATCCAATCCCTGAGCTTGGATATTTGCCAGATATATCGTCTCCGCGTCTAAAATAACGAGACCAGACTTCGTGAAGATCATCTCAGCTGCGGTGCTGTTAAGATAGAACTTCCCAATGAGCGTCCCTTCAGCATTCCAAACGTGGATACCCTCGCCACAACCTGAAAAAACGTTTCCCGTGGCATCAAGCTGAATGCCATCGGGAATACCGGAATCAGAGTAGGCGAACACTCTGCGGTTTGTGAACGCCTGCGTCTGTGGATCAACGTCGAACTTGTAGCTATATGTTTTGCTTTAGAATCCCATTGCAATTATGATTGATGCAATGAACTCACATCGTGGCCGGGAGGGTCTGATTCGTTCCGAAATTGCCTTCAAAAGAACCAGTGTCGGTGCTGATACGTCATTACTTCGTCCGCGGACCGAAAGGCGATACAAGTATTGAAAACTTACACGAATGCACTTTTGCCGTCGGAGGTGAATGCGATACCATTCGGAAGCACAAACTGGTCGGCGACAACTCTGACCTGCCCAGTGGATGGATCAAAGCGGTATACTTGCGATGGTAGCATTGGTTCAGGACGGAAGCTGTCAAGCCACCCATAGCTGGGAAAACCATAGTAAATATTGTAAACGTCATTTTTCGATGATCTGCTTACGTTGGATCAGTGAAAAACATGATGTCCGTGCCAGGGAGATTTTTGACATCATTGAGCGAGTTAAACTGTCTGCCCAAGAAGTTGTCCAGAAGAACAGTGGCATTGTAGGGAGGGCTGGGATTGACGCGCACAATAGAAGGAGGAAGCAAAGCGCGACCGGAAGTGACGAACAAAAGATCTCCCTTGTACGGACCTGTCCCCCCGTTTACCATTTGGACAGTGTCCGGAAGGTTGAGCTGAGAACCAAGACAGTCGAGATCAACGATCTGTGCCTAGACTCAGCGGAAGCAACCCACCGTTTGAATTTGTATATTAACATCTCCCGTTGTAGAAGCCAGCGCCATGTCGACTTCTGTCATATTGAGCATGCTAACAACGCTGTTGTTGTACCAGCCGTTGTACCCGAGTGGACCACCATCGTTGCTTGAAAAGAAGACTGCGTTGAGGTCTGGGACGTAAATGGGTGCTTCGTGAGCAAAAGCAAAGCCGGGATTCGAAACAATTGAGCGAATGGTAGCGGATGGTCCGGTGATATTGAGGAACGAAGGGTCAAAGACCTGAATGAATGGAGGTGTGGTGTTGGTGGGGTTAAAGCCAACAGTGGATAAGTTGCGCCATTCTGTGTAGTCGGCTCCCACAACATCGTACATTAGAGGATTAATGTACTGCAAATGGACGTTAGGTACAGCATTGCGGAATCACGATCTCTGACGTACCACTGCTCCAGGAGGCACGGTAAGGTTAGAATCGCTCGCCGAGGCTTTCGCGCACGACACAAGAGTCAGGGTGACAGTCAGAATTGCACCCGTTGTTAATGCTGTCATCTTTGATTAAGATGTATTTCCCCTATTTCCAGGTTTCAGAGACAGTCGGTGGTCGCACTCCACTGTCAGCTAGAACGTCACAAGTTATAGAGGGTCCACGGCAAGTGGGCTCAGAAGTCACCCTCGTTGTATACAGAGCTTTTATTGTTCAACAGAACACGATCGCGGATTTGTCGGTGTTTCACGGATAGCCGATCAAGACAGTCATTCGGTTACGGAGAAGCTGTCCTAAGCTGTCGCATGACCGTCAGTCGTGTGGATGAGGACAAAGAAGACACAGAACAACCGTACTTAAAGACATTCTTGACAGCGACTTGGGAACACTAGAGGTAACGGGCCGCGAACTTCCGCTCACATGGCCTCCAACTAACCAATTTGGAGGAGGAAGAATCTGGCAACCCTTGAGCTACCTCAGCTTCAAGACGCACAAAGAATCGTGTAAGCTTCAGCCACAACTGACTCTGAGGGTAATCAATCTGCACAGCCACGACGTTTCGTACTCCTGATTCGTCACGCATCACGTGTCATCCGATGAGAGTAAGACCGTCTTGTGGAAGATGTACTCTGATAACAGCATTGCGGTCGTCGCGCATCGTTGTCTTCGTACGAGTAAGGGACCACTGATGCTCGTCACCATAACGTTCAAACTCAAGACGGACCGATTGAAGCACACCTTGAGCACAAGTTCGACGTCAAGTGATCTCCTGCAGGATCTTTCTATGACACCTGTGTGAATATGAAGGAATGAGTGGACTCGTCAGTTGAACATTCAATCTTCCCAGGGCTACAATAGGCTGTTCAATTTAAGTACTCAGCTCCTCGACTCGACAGTCTGAACCGCTCACCTCGTTGCAAATAAGGGTGCCAAGCCATACTATAGGCGGGCAGGCAAATGCATGAAGGCCAATAGTGAGACCCAACTTGAGTAAGTCTTCGTCAAATCGTGTACGACCTGAGGTGGCCTATCGTAAGAGTTGAAACGTTCGAGATCCCCATAGTAGTACCTATCCGGCCGGACTTTCAACGTTCAACTCCCGGAATTAACGATTCCCAGGTGCATTACGTTCTTCTGATGCTGACCTACAAACATTGATATTCCTGTGTCCAAACATCGTCCTCCCTGATAGTTTGCAACCTGCTAGTAATCCTATGCATACCGTGTACCTGATCGCAAAACTGATGATCCGGAAGGTGACGATCATACAGCTCACAACCAGTGACCTCGCCCTAACGCAGCAGTTGACCGTTATGATCGATCTCGGTGCATTCATTGAGAATTCTGCTTCTGACAGCCACCTCTGAGTACTGAGTTGTTGCATAAAACCTAACCAAATTTTTGGGCGTCGTTCTCTATCACTTACCAGGACCCCCACTTCTCATCGACATGGCTGATGCTATGAGATCGCCTTGATGCTACTCAACCGCACCACAAGGGGAAGCAGCGACACATTCACTTGATGCGTAGTACTGTACGCAGTCAAAATGAAACTTGACAAAATAATTGACAGCCGGGAATGTGGTAACCGCGTGAATGAAACAACATTACCTTAAACCTAGAGACAAGCAGCGTCAGAATCTCACTTTCTAAATACCGCACGCAGACGATGGGGCGTTCACCAGTGATTAAAGTTAGACTCAAACTTCTTCAAGAATTCCAAATGTTTGTTCATCGCCTGGTCGCTGTCGCCGCTCTCTGCTGCTGCGAACGCTTGATTAGCGGACTTGGTGAAGGACGAGGTGTACAGTGTGAACGTAGAGCACGTCACTATCATGCGGGAGTATGCATGGAGGTGCGACGATCAGTGGGTGTTTGGGTCCGAGGTTGCACACGTACCCTCAGCAGTTTAGCACTCGTCAACATGCATTCTTTCAGACGTGTCCAGAAAGTCTACGTGATCCCTCAGAAGCTGGTCTACGGTGATTACCTTAGCCAATTTCGCCTCTAGCACCTGCCAGTATTTGCTGAACAAAAGCGAGCATGCGAGCTCTCAGGAACGCAACTCGCAGTCGCCACTGCTCGAACTCGGGGTGATTTGGCACAGGACGCCGCTAGGGACTTGTCTTCTGTTTTATCCACATCGATGCGAGCTACTATTCTACATGCTCGAGATGTGAGAGAAACGGAAGAGGAGCTGGTAACGTAAAATCGTTTTGTGAGAGATGACGAGCGAAAGCGGGAATTTCACGTTGTAGTCGAGTGTAACGGCATCAATTGCTTGTTCGACATGAGCAAGGACGGTAGCGCAAACGCTTTACGCACATACCTAAAATGGGCTTCTTGTCATGCTTCTCCCAGTCGTGATCCTTCTTTCATCTGGCACGCCCTCGCCTTCCTCACCGCCAATCACGCCGGTTACGCTGATGACCTTAAGTAAAGATTCATACAATCTACTGCTCGCGAAACTGACTCGTACATATGGAGTATAATGGTTTAAAAAACTTATGGCCCGAGCATTTAACTCTATCACGGATTCGCATGGAAAGGAGATGCGGTGTGCTGACCGGGAGTAAAGCGCACCTGAGAAAGTATTAGTAGGGCATCAGTTGTTTGAGCACAAAAAACGTGTGCAATTATCCATCTAGACCGAGATGAGTAGAAGCCCAGATGACTGACAACATATCGGCTCTGGTAACTGGTTCGCAGGACACAATCACCGTGACGTCTGCCATCTTAAATGACTTGACTCGGGGGAATAGGAAAAATCATGTTTGTGAAAACGAATAAAGTGAGGGGAATAACAGATGGGGTGCGAGGAGCTAGAGAGGAATCGCAGCAGCATTGAATTAATGGCGATGATTCATGATGCCAACGATCGCGAGTGGAAGCCCAGATGGCTAAATAGTAAAAAGGCAATGATCATATTATCCATCTGGGTTGTCTGTATGGATGAAGTGCGAGATACTAGGTTGCGGGAGTCAGAGCATATCCGAGAGGAAAATTCATGGAAGATGCTTACCCGACTTGAGAGATTAGTTAGTTAGCAAGAAGTAGATGATGCAGCCAGTACTTCAGTAGCTACACACAAGCAGAGTTTGGGCGCAAGGATGGACAGTCATGGACTTCACGTTCATTCTGGACAAACAAGGACAAACAAGCATCAAGCTCAGCCGTGCTTGCAAGTCCCGTTGATGTTGTGAATCTCTCTACGCCGCTACCGCACCATCTTACTCCACAACGTCACTATCAGTTCCTCCCAAACTACGACGCGTCAAACTTCGCAGACATCAAGACCCCCGTATTCTCCTCTCCAACTACGATCGCTCCCATATTAACACGCCTCTAGAGCGGAAACGAAGACACCGTTACACCGACCCCCCCTATTTTCGCATTGGAAAGGATAAAGTAGACCACGGAAATTGTCAATATGCACCATCCAAGAACTATGATTTGCGACCAAGGACTCCGGGCCTGCGTGTGTTGACTCAGACGTGTGTAGTAACTGTGCCAAAGCCCTCTCAACAGCTACGTGAGTCACAGTCTGTTTCTAGTCTCAATGCAATGGTTCGCATTGTTACACATCGAGTTATGGAACTCAATTGTAGTCCTTAGACTCTTTGTTCAGTCTCCAGGAACCGACTAACGAAGAGCTCCTTGACGAGAATGCCCGTTGTGACACCCTGGTGCACCTGCATCCAATATCACCCTCAATTGAATGTCATATATCGTGCCGGAACGTTGCATTACCTCGATTTCATCCCCCATTCGTTTACTCTTGCCTGGTGCCTTTTCCCTCCAGCCTATTTTAATCACGCCTCACAGCTCGCACCATCCTTACACGCATCATTTTTATGGTGCTCTCGTTCTCACCGCCTTCGTCGTGGATATCGCGATTACATGTTGTACCGTACTATGTACGTAGTGAACTAACATATTCGTCGCACCCTGTTTTTAGACCATTTTTTATGTACTCGGTGCAACGGGAATTTGAACGACTACAGATGACTGCAACAGCAACGTCCTGTTGTTCAGGTTCTCAGTCCGCTATGAGGAGGCACCAATGCTATACATCATTTTCACACGCACGCGCAACCGCATCTCTGATGGAATCGACCGTCGTTGTGTGCGCTCACAAACCAGCACTAACATCATGCGTCATGAGTGCCACACAGTCAGCTCACGTCGTTCGCATGGACAATCCTAAACTCGGGCTAGATGCTGGGCATAGAATAGAATACGAAGGACGATCCACTGTACACTCGGTCACATCTAAATTGTATCTGAAATCTCCATAATGGTTCCATTGCTGCGATCTTGATCGGTACTAAGGTCTGCAAGTCTTGATTTGAGTAAGTGCGAGGAACGGAAAGGGCTTTGAAGACACTTACTCCTCTCGGCACTTTTGCCAGTGTTGTCCGTGTGCCATGCGGATCAAATCAAGCTCAGGACGCCCTCTGGGTATCACTAATGTAGTTGCAGGGTTATAAAATGTGTTTCGAGAAGCCGGTGGTACCCAAAACAACAGGCGACGTCTGGGTCCTACTATCCATCCACTATCACGATTCAGTAAAAAGGGGGTCGAACTGCGGTCGTCAGGGGATGCTCCCTCCGTTAGCTCCAAGGTATTGCAGAGTTCATGGATAGAGTTGGACGAGAAGCAAATGGGGTGATTGTTCCAAATGCCCAACGTGGTGGTAGTCGTAGCCTCGATCGTGCGATGTTCATCGGATAATGCTGAAGGATCTGACACAGCGCACTGTTGCGACGTCTGGCTCATCACTGGATCCCACAGCCGAACAGTCTTATCCAAAGAACCAGTGACGATGCGAGTGCCGTCCGGAGAGAACGAGACCGAGTTTACTGAATCAGTGTGCCCCCGCAAGGGCTCACCGACCGGCTCCCCCGTCCATGCATCCCACAGCCGAACAGTCTCATCCCTTGAACCAGTGACGATGCGAGTGCCATCCGGCGAGAATGACACCGACGTTACTGAATGAGTGTGCCCCCGCAAGGGCTCACCAACTGGCTTCCCCGTCCCTGCATCCCACAGCCGAACAGTCTTATCCAAAGAACCAGTGACGATGCGAGTGCCGTCCGGTGAGAACGAGACCGAGTTTACTGAAGAAATGTGCCCCCATAAGGGCTCACCGACTGGCTCCCCCGTCCCTGCATCCCACAGCCGAACAGTCTTATCCAAAGAACCGGTGACGATGCGAGTGCCGTCCGGATGAGAACGAGACCGACAAAACTGAATGAGTGTGTCCCCGCAAGGGCTCACCAACTGGCTCCCCCGTCCCTGCATCCCACAGCCGAACAGTGTTATTGTGCGAACCAGTGACGATGCGAGTGCCGTCTGGCGAGAACGAGACCGACAAAACTGAATCAGTGTGCCCCCGCAAGGGCTCACCGACTGGCTCCCCTGTCCCTGCATCCCACAGCCGAACAGTGTTATCGTGCGAACCAGTGACGATGCGAGTGCCGTCCGGTGAGAACGAGACCGACAAAACCAGAGAAGCGTGCCCCCGCAAGGGCTCACCGACTGGCTCCCCCGTCCCTGCATCCCACAGCCGAACAGTCTTATCCAAAGAACCAGTGACGATGCGAGTGCCGTCCGGTGAGAACGAGACCGAGTTTACTGAATCAGTGTGCCCCCGCAAGGGCCCACCAACTGGCTCCCCCGTCCCTGCATCCCACAGCCGAACAGTGTTATCCGAAGAACCGGTGACGATGCGAGTGCCGTCCGGCGAGAACGAGACCGAGTTTACTGCAGATGCGTGCCCCCTGAGCACGGTCTGAACAGCTGGCCAATTCATATCACGTCCACATGCTACACGAAGAGTATTCGGAAAGCGTGCAGAAAAATTTCTCAATAGCGGAGAGTTGGCAGGCGAGAATGGGAGTGCTGATACATACAGGTGTGGCGTACTGTGCAAAATCATGCCGCCGAAGACTTGAATGAACCTCCGTACGTCAATTGCAGTCGACGAGACATCTTTGAATTTGGGATGGCCCTGTGGTTGTGCATGAGCGCTTTATCTGGTACTTAGTAGCAATGTATTCACCTTTAGCCATGGGGGAATGAGCGGAAGGGCAGCAACTGCACTGCCTAGCGCCTCGATCAAGGCGAGTAACTCGAGCCAGAAAAACAGCCGCTCGTGGTCGAATAACAATTTCACTTCTTTCGCGAGTTCCTTGTCAAAGGCTGTGGTTCGTACGTGTGACGTCCAAAATCGAGATGAATATGACAGATGTAAGGGGATGCATTTTTGGACTCGTTCTTGTAGACCGGGATCTTCCCTATTAGGCAGATACGACGACTTCAAATCACAGATGTTGAAGCGAAGACTGTGTTCCATCACTCGAAGCGACGCGAATGCAAGATCATGTTGGCCCTTTGACAGGTCGATGAAAACTCTCCACTGGATGATTTGTCCGTCAGGAAATCGCGGAAGGATGCATGAAGTGGTCGGATCGAGGAATCTGGGTTGGTGGTGCCGCTGAGGAGGGAGCCCATGCTTTTTACCACAAGCTCGACGTCGAAATTATCATTCGGAGTTGGAAAATGGCGCCTCATGGCATTCAGGGAAGCTAAAGGAAGGGGTTCAGCTGTGCCTAGTATTTGTCGCATTACTGAGCGAAATCTCGCTAGCTTCGTCGAACGCAGTTTCGGTGAATGCTGCATATGAGTAGATGTATCCATGGGTATGATATTTGTTAAAATTAGGAGATACATCTCGTGCAACAGCCTGCTTCTCTCAGCAGGATCCCGTGACACCACGCCATTGTAGCATTCGATTGGAGATAGCCCCATATCAGACTCTTTGATGTATCCGCAGGCGAGACGCGCCCACTCGAAAAGTCCGTCAGCTTTC